AGAGAGAGAGAGAGAGAGAGAGAGAGAGAGAGAGAGAGAGAGAGAGAGAACCCGAGATATCCTCATATTCCCAGGGATAGAGGTACTCAACTCTTCTTTGACAAAGTATGATAATACCTCTATTTGCCCAAGCAAATGATCAAAGAGTAAGCCAGTAGAAAGAGTTTCCAAAAACTCAAGCCACTACTGCCTACATCTTTCTAGCTTACCCTTCTGTCTCCTTCCCCAATTCTTATTCTTACCCCCACACACCCACACAAACAAGCAGCCCCCTCACCCGGACCATTACTGTCCCCTGCTCAATGCCATCTTGCACTCAGTCTCCTGCTCCATCCATGGACCACAGGATGCACAACCCTCCTCCAAAGCAGAGGGACCAGGTATGGAGCAGATGCAAATGTTGAACTTCACCTTTTGTTCTGTGGACAGAAGTCCCGCTGCCCACTCAGCCTGGTTTCTGAATGCCAAAAGCTGAAGTCTCTGGGGATTCTGTTTCCAGCCTGGAACTGCATCCAGGATGAGGTGTGTGGACACAGTGGGGGCTGAGGCACGGAAGTCCTTAATTGGACTTAATTCCTACCTTACTACAGACATCAACCCTCAGCTCATTTGGCAGATCACCAAACCTCTGTGTTTGATCCCTCAAGGCCTTACCCACCTCAGAGAGCAGATGTGATTCTAGACTTTGGTCCATTCCAAACTCCCCCACTGCAGTTCCTAGGGCAGGTCCCTGGATAGGACCATGGTGGGCTCCTGGTCAGCATGGCTTGGGCACTGCCTTGGCCTCTCACACTGGATGGAGATTTTTCTGGAGATCAGACTGTCTTCAGAGCCAGATGCCTAAAAGTTGGGAGGAAACCTGCTCAAATTATCCTTGGAACCCCGGTTCTAACTCCCCATGGGCATCGTCTGTCTCCATGACAAGTGGAGCTGCGGTGGGGGGTGGCTGTGGAGGGAGGGTGGAAATGGTAAGAGCTTAACTCCTAGGCACTGCTGGGTCCTTTGGGATCCCAGGCCTGAAGAAGAACCTAGAAAAATGACAAAATATTTATGTTTCCACTTCCTTCCACCTCAACCTTTCTTGGGAACATGTGACAAGGTTGCTGGTAAATCGCCCAGTGAGAGCCAACCTGGATGGCAAGGTGCTAAGGAAAGCAACCTGTGACAGCAGCCGCCGATGACGCACCTGCTCCCTTGCAGAGAAAGTGCGGCCCTCTCCTTCAGCCCTTCCTGGTGCTACCAGGGACCATTAGCCTCTGGAAGGAGAGGGATACCTCTGAGCTGCACTGATGAATGCCTAGAACCCCTCCTGAATGCTGTGTGGGTGGGCGGGTGGGGGTGGCCGGAATGAGATTGGTCAAAGAAGGAGACTTGCTTTCCTAATCTCCTGACCATATCTGGGTTTGAGTGGATGCCTCTGGGTCTTTGGAGGGAACCCCGTACTCACCCTGTTACAGAGTGATTTAAGATTCAAACTGTAGGAGACACTTGCCACCATCCTTAGTGCTTAGTGCCCAACCCTCCCCACGGAGACAATGTGAGGAGTGAAACAAGGTGCAATCCCTTGATCCTGATCTTCATTTGAACTGATATCCCCCAAGTGCCCCGGCCTCTTTGCCCTCATCAGACTTCATTAGACTCAACACAGAGCAGTGGAAAGGGCACTGGGACCAATTTAAAAAAAAAATGCAGAAATCATCTGCACTCTATCCCTAAACAGCTGACTGCAAGCAATTTTTCTCTTCTCCACTGAATTAGGTTACTATTTCTTTTTTATAATTCTGTGTTTGTATTTTTCTTTTCATCTTATTTATTTGTTTTGTCTACAACCTCATACCTGATGCTTCTCTGGTGAATGTTCTACTTTCCCAACATGTTTTTTCCATCTGGAACCTTGGTCGGGACATTTTAAATGCTAGTGTGGTTTCAGAGACCAAAGTCAAAGTTCTCCCCTAGACTATAAAGCTCTTTCCCGAGATTGGTCTTGAAGAATTATTGGGCCCTTCTTTCCTCCTATGTCTTGGCTCACTACTTCTTCTCCTCTTGGGAAGGAGCTTCCAAAATTCCACAGTAGACTTCTTACACTCTCTACCTTTTGACTTTCTCCAAAGAAAAATATTTTCCCCCTATTCATTCAATAAATATTTAGAGAGTTCTTTTGTAGTAAGCCCATCTCAGTTATTACGGCAACCATGCTACATAGGAAGCTACCTGTTTTAGTCAGCTTTTGTTGCTGTTGTTGCTGTAACTAAAAGACCTGATATAAAAACAAATTTTAAGGTGGAAAAGTTTATTTGGAAGTTTCGGACATCAACCAGCTCCATCTTCGGAGCAGATACAGCAGAACATCATGGCAGAAAAAATGTGGTGGAGGGAAGCAGCTCACATGATGATCAGGAAATAGAGACTCCATTCTTCAGATACCAAATATATACCCCAAATGCACACCCCAATGCCCATCCCCTCTGGGCACACCCTACCCACCTTCTGTTGTTACCATTCAGTTAATCCATCAGGATTAATTCACTAATTGGTTGAAGGCTCTCATAACCCAGTCGTTTCTCCTCTAAACCTTCGTGTATTGTCCCACATGTGAGCTTTTGGGGGACACCTCACATCCAAACCATAATAATACCCCAAAGTTGGCAGAGCATAACAACAATAAATATTTGTTTTTATCGCCTACAGAGCCAGAGTTTGATCATAATAGAACTTCTCAGGTCTGTCTCCCAGGAAGAAGAAACAAGAGCTATCTAGGGAAGCCCTTCTCCTGGCAGAAAGAAGCAGCTCCAAGAAATCAAAGCAAGTCAAAAGATGCCAGTGCATCGAAGTCCCTGATCATACAGTGTACTTCACTTCCACTCAAAGACATTAGCTGAAGCAAGCCACAGGGCCAGCGTAAAAGGCAGTGCACCAGGGAAGACTATTCCCCTCTCGGTTAGACCATGCAATACAGGGAGGGAAGGAGGCATGAGGAACAAATAATGCAAAAACAGCTTCTATTTTCATAAAGTTCATAGTCTAATGTGGGAGATCGATATGCAGGCTGCAAACAAGCAAATTAATACACAATAAACTGGGATAACTTTATAAAGACAATGAATAGGGCTGGGGATATAGCTCAGTGCTAGAGTGACTGCCTCGTAGGTGTGAGGGCTGAGTTTGATTCTCAGCACTGCCAAAAACAAAAAAAAAGAAAAAGAAAGAAAATGAATAACATGAGGGTCCTATTTTAGGTTGGGTGGCCTGAGAAGAGAGACCGAGAGCAAAGGGCTTTCCAGCCGGTTGGAGTAGTTGGTGCAAAGTCAGTAAAGAAGCAACCATGTTGATGTGGCTTAAGAATTGGAATGAGATGCCCGTGGCTGGAGTTTGGTAAGGGAAGGTAAAACCCTGTGACCTAAGATTGAAGATGCCTTTAGGGGCCAGGATCTGTAGGGACCTGACTTGTTACCTCTCCCTCATTTACTAACCATTCCTCTCCCACTTGTACAGGCTGCCTAAACATATACACGCACGCGCACACACACACACACACGCACACACACACCCCTCCTTAAAGCTTCCTTAGGTTGACCAATCTGCTGAAGCCACTTTAGAGTCTTCTAAACAAATAAACAATGCAAAACCAAAACAAAATAAACCCCCTTCAGTCTGTGCATTTCAGGGACCAGGATTCAGATAGTCTGGGGAACAGGTAGAAAGGCTCCTGCCTGGAACAGATGGGGCTTGCAGGAGTCTCCTGGCCAAGAATCACCCTCCAGGTGAGAAAAGAACCAGGTCTAACAGGAGGCACTTGGTAACTTCTGAGAAAGACATTTTCTAAATTCAGTTTTTAGTTGGCCCTAAAATCTGTGCAGCACAAGAGAAAGTTTCATAGTGATGGGCAGGTTGGATATCTTGATTAGGGTGAGGTTACACAGATTTGTCATTTGAACTACATACTTGAAATAATGCATTTTATTGTACCCAATTTATATCTTAATCGAGTTGAATTAAAGGTAAACAAAACAAAAAGCAAGTCGTAAATAGAAAAAAAAAAATACAAAGCAAAAACCAGACCCTAGTCAACCTCCTGGTTTTCCTTCTGCAGAAATGACAGGAAATAAGTTAATAAATTTTTTAAAAAGGCACTTTCAAGGCACTCCAGGAGAATAGAGTAAAAACAGCTTCCTCTGCTTGGGAACATGAAAGGGGAAGCGTGGTGTTCTTTCCCTTATTGCCGCCAGACACTGGGCCACTTTGAGACCAAGAGGACCTGGGGGTGTTGGTGGTACCACCTGGGCAGGTGTCTTCCTGAGAGGCCATGCAGAATGTCCTGAAGGAAGAGAGACACTGCCCTGAAGAAGTGGCCGTGGCATCTGGCAATCCAGAGATGGGGTGGTGGCAAGGACATCGCTGACCCAGGGGAGCCCAGGACAAGGGGCAGTAACTATGGCAGTGCTGTCCAACAGAAATTAAATGCCAGCCACAGATGGAAATTTAAATTTTCTGGTAGCCACATTTGGAGAAGTAAAACAAATCAAACAAACACAAACCAGGCGAAACTAATTTAGTTTGGTATCCAGAACATTCATGCTGACATGTAATCGATATGAGAAAGATAGTACTTTGGATTCTTTCTACTGAGTCTTTCTTTGAAACCTAGTGAGCATCTCACACACTGACATTTCTCCGTTTGGATGAGCTGCATTTCAAGTGCCTCCCGTGACCAGTGGCTCTCCTTCTGGACAGCACAGTTCTGTGGGGGACAGCAGCATCCAAGTGACCAAATTTACGGTGTGTGAGAGCTCTCCCCATCCCACCCAACTCAGGAAAAAGAGACAACAGCAATGAGCATCTCCAGCCATACTAGCAATGTGGGCTCCACAGGGGACCCAGGTCCCAGGGAACAGGTGGAGGGGAGGCTATCACCTGAAGGAGAGAGCCAGGGGGGTGAGAGAGCACGTGTATCATGGGCTCAGGAAGCTCCAGTTACATATGCATTTTTAAAGTCATGTTGTAGTGTAAGCTTAGATGTTCTTTTATCTCTGAGCATCACAGAGAGAATTAGTTGTATCTTGTCAGCCCTCTTGCCCTTTGTGCTTCTGTTTTTGTGTAGCACGAATGTTATATTTTGGGACTTTCCTTTTCACTCAGATCACTGTAATTCTTTCTTATTCTATGTTGTTTATCTACCCTCTACCTACCATCCTGACCCAACTAACAAAGTAGACTATTTTAAAGTCAAACTTCTGTAATCATAAAAGTAATTGATAATACTGAATCCCTTTCAAACTCTGCATCCTTCCCCCTCTTCCTCAGGCCCTTCCCTCTGTTCCCAGTCCTAGATGCACAATCTTCACTGGGTGGAGAATTGTTCACAAAGCCAGAAGAGTAGCCTTCACGGTATAGAAGGGATAAAAACCGTTAGAGCTTAATTCTTACTATCTGTTAAATGAGTGACTACATCTACAGAGTGTAGAGAGGTGCCCGGCGCAGAGTTAGTACTCAAAAAGTTTAAGCCAACTAGCTACCGCCAAGGCCTTAGTGATGGAACAGTTTGGTTCAACAGATATTTCTTGGGTGCCTGCTCTGTGCCAGGAGCCATGGTAGGTGCTCAGGAACAGAAGTGCACAAAACTGGTCCCTAACCTCAGAGATTTCACATCCTAACTGGAAAAGACAGTGAATAGCAAGACAACAGAAATATGTAGACTTTATAGAATGCTAGAAGGTGGTAAGTGCAATGTGGGGGAAAGTAGAGCAGCATAAGAGGACTGGGGTGCAGAGCTGGGGGCAGGTGGCATATTAGGTAGAGTGTCTGTGGTCCCCATGGAGAAGGGGGGCAAAGACTTGATTTGAGCAAAGACTTGAAGGAAGTAGAAGATCAAGGGCAACCACTAGTGGAAAGGCCCTAGAGGTGGGCGCCTAGTGCATTCGAGGAATGGTGTCTTAGTCCACTTGGAGTAGCAGAACCTCTGGGGAAAGGGAAAAATAATACAAGGGGGAGAAATGAAGTACAGTAGAGGGGGTAGAGAGAGAAGAGGGGAGGGGAGGGGAGGGGAGGGGGGATAGTAGAGGATAGGAAAGG